CTCCCCCCCACGTGCAGGGCTGTAGTGTCCAAACGCAACTCAACACCACACTCTAACTCCCACGGATGCATCAGCAGTAGCAGCCTTCATCCATGGCCACCCTCATTTTCAAATCTCTCAAATGATTTTTTTTTAATGTTTGTCATCCTTGCACAGGGCGATGTCCAGGCGATGTTCACAATTTGCAAAAAGTCAACAAAGAAAGTCGACGGAACTTTTGAGTGTCAAGTTGCAAAAACAATTTTGAGCCAGTGGTTGCGGTGTACGCTCACAAATACACAGAAAGTAATTCAACAAAATACGAAATCGAGTGTACACAGGAAGGCGTCCCCGACGCCGCGTTTCCACGACGGCCACGTCGTCTTCTTCAGGGGGTTAACCACCATCACTCCGCAAGTATGCCAACATCCCCGACTCCCGGTACCCAATGCACTCTTACTACCATTAGCGGTCTGGACTACTAATCCTAGCTCCGAGCTCCCGAGCGTCAGTCCTGAAAGAGGGCTAGTCATTATGCACTGACTCCATTCATCGGAGACGTCTTCAACGCGGTCTGTCCGAAGCACATGTCGTGCTTCCCGGTACGTGGGACCTGTTCTATACACCATTGGATTCGATTATGCACTGACTCCATTCATCGGAGACATCTTCAACGCGGTCTGTCCGAAGCACATGCCGTGCTTCCCGGTACGTGGGACCTGTTCTGTACACCATTGGATTCCTAGCCCTAAGACCACCTAAGTGTCGAGCCGGTGACAGTTCAAGACCCGGTCACATGCCAAACAGGTAATACTCCAAAAGTAGCATCGGGGTTCGAGACCCAAAAATGCCAGATAGCAGGGTTGCGTGCCTGCCGACCGCTGACCCCGACCACAGACCGTATTGCAGCCGACCAGTAGGGCTGACCGGTTGGCGGTCTGCCGACCAGTCAGAAAACAACCATCCACTGATTGCTTTTTCAAATCTGAGTTGGGGGATGTACCGCGCTTGCTGAGTACAGCCCAAATCGGCCGAGAAACTTTTGGGGATGTGGGGGGGGGTATGGGGGGGTTGGGTCTGTCTCTTATACACATCTAGATGTGTATAAGAGACAAGGGCGATTGCTTCTTGTTTAGGGTCGATTATACCTAGCCCTCCTTCCTGTGGTTTCCTGATGACCGTTTGCCAGACCACCTTGTTTATACAGGT